CCATGTGGGTTTTGTTGCTTCTCAGCTAGATGGCTGCTTGTTTATCTTCAAGCCTTTAAGACCCCAGATGCTATATCTTTTGATAGCTGGGCACCATCAGCTTTCTTCACCACATTTTCTTATGCACCCATTTGTCTTCAGCGATATTGTCAGGAAGGTGAGCATCGCAGAATGCGGATTGTTAGAACAAAGTGCTCTTGTGTTGAGGGAGTACTTGAGTGGAGGCCCAATGTCCATCTGCTACCTTAATACTAAACCTATAAATATATACACATAGATCTATTTCTCATCATCATATATAAATATATTTGCACATGTACATGCCTGTATTTAGACCTCTATAAATTCCCTTTGCCCTCTAGTTCTTGCCTTATTTCCTTTTTCTTTCCTCTTGTCCCACTATCATGTTCAGCCTTTCATTTAGGTTTCAGTAATTCTTCTTGGTTACATTGCCCTTGATCAAGCCCTTCCAGGCCTCCTACACCCTCCTCTCCACCGATTTTGGATCACTTGTTCCCTTGTCCCTGGGTTTGTTAACACCCACTTCCTTTCCCCCACCTCCCCCTCTCACATGTCCCCCTGGAACCATCAGTCCCATTGTTTTCTCCTCTGAATTGTTTATCCCACCTATCTTACCTAGATAGATATGGAGAGATAATAATATGCACAAAATCAAGATAGAGCTAAACAAAGCAACAAAAGAAAACAAACAACAACAACAAAACCAACGACAAAAAAATGAAAAGCCTATAAATAGTTCAAGGTCTGTTTGCTGACCTTTACAAGTGTTTTCCAGTTGAGTCTGATGGGGTGCCACGCCCTGGCCCCACAGTCTATTTTTGGTATTCTCTGGGGACGTCATTGCTCTGCTCCCCATGCTGTTCTGTTGCACACCCTTAGTGTTTCGCCTCGGTGTGTCTGCAGTGTTGTCCCCTATAGCACTATGGGTCAGTCAGGGACATCATGTCTCCTTGTGGGGTCGGCCCTATGGTCCTCTCTGAGCATTGGCTGCTCTGAGTAGGAGTATTGTCCTCGGGATTTGGTGGGCCAGGATGTGTTCCACTCTCTTTCCTTTGCTCCTGTGTACTCTGATCAGACATGTCCCTCTCCCTGAGCTGTAGCTTCAGTGCTGTCCTCTGAAGTGAATTCTTCTGGAGGTAGGGGTATATTTCCCTTCTTATAGACAGAGTGTTCTCTTTTATTTTGTTGAATAGATGAATAAACATTTTATTAAACAGATATCTGAAGTGTTCAGTTATGTTCACTGAAGTAATGCTTTTTTCAAAAATAGGCATTTAAAGTAGATATTAAGGAACAAGGAGCTGTGGCACTCTGGGCCTTGGCAGGACAAACATTGAAACAACAAAAGTATATGGCAGAGAAGATTGGCTACAACTTTATAATAAACATGCTTTTGTCCTCATCAGCTAAAATGCAGTATGTCGGTACGTTGTTTTCTAACTAAAATATGGACAGCGAAAATCTAGAGTTGGAGTGGCAGACATCTTTTTTCTCTCCCCTTAACCAGGAGGTGAAGCAGTCATTGCTCTAAGTAAGGACAGCAGAATGCATCAAAACCAAATCTGTGAAGGGAATGGAATTGCACCTTTGGTCCGTTTACTACGAATTTCTAAGATAGCTGAAGGCACACTTCTGAGTGTCATCCGAGCAGTGGGATCCATTTGCATTGGTTTGTACATTCATTCTCTGCTGCCTAAATATCAATAAGGAAATAAAGCAGGTAGAGAGACACGACAATTAATCTCTTCCTTTCAATCCCACTGTTAGAGTTCTAAAGAATATTTAATGTAGACTCTGTTCTATAGGGTTCCAATGAGGTGGGACTAACTACATGGTCGTGAGTTTGAGGCTATCATGAGTATACTTTTTGGTTTCTTTAAGACATTTGTGAGTAAAAGTGATGTAATTAAGAATGTCATGTAGGTTTGGCTCTTGAACCTTGATTAGAAAAGAAAATAAGGGCAATGAATCTTGCCTATTTTGACTTAAGGAATTTGATTTTCTAAGTTAAGAAGAAAATATTTCTTCTTTAAAATCTCAACAACTACATATTTTTCAAGATCTAGAAGAGAGTTTTTAATGCTGGTGTATATTTTTCAATTTCAGTTTCCTTCTACAATGGCTCTTTGTTCATAAAATAGGCACTAGGAGGTCTGGTAGAAGTCTTATAGCTTTAGCACTTACACTTATGCCTATGATTTATTTTGAGTAAATTTTCATATGTTGTAAATATATTTTTATGTGCTATCCAGTTGCTTCAGCAACATTTGTTGAAAATATTGTTACTTATTATAAAAAATAGATTAGATAGGAATAAGTCTATTGTGAACCCTTTAGTCTGTTCCATTTACCTGTGTGTCTATTTTCATTCCATCCTCACTGTCTTCATTACACATTTATAACAAATCTGAAACCAAGATTTACTTGAGTCTTTCAAACTTGTTATTTTTGTTTTGTTTTGGTTTGTTTGCTATGGTGGGTCCTTTACACCTCCATATGAATTTTGAAGTCAGCCTTTCAGTTTCCACATGATGCCCTGGTGGTGTAGAGGGTTATGTGTGGAGCTGCTGATAGCAAAGTCAGCCTACTTGGAACCCACCAGGCTCTTGAGCTGGAGAAAGAGGAGGCTGTCTGCTCCAGGAAGCCTCACAGTCTTGGAACCCAAAAGAGGCAGTTCGACTTTGTCCTGTAGGGTTGCTATGAATTGGAATAGAATTGATAGCAGTGGGTATTTAGTATTTCTAAATCATGCATATGGAATTTTGATTTAATATGGGCATTGCAAGTTTTACATTGATGGATGGTGAATTTTGTGTCTTTTAAAAAGTGTTTGGTATGGCATGCAATTATGTTGTTTGGAATCAGTTTGACCCTTTTGCAACTTGTTTCTAAACTTTAGTATTGCATGATTAGAGCAGCCTTTAGTCATGACTAATGTAACCCAACTACTAAAGGGATACCTTTTGGAGGTCCTTAGCCCCTTGTATTATCAGGTCTTTTCTCTTTGGCTATAAAAGCATATGAACCTTTGGGAAGGGGGAGCGGGGAAGGAGGCGGGGGAGAAAAATGAGGAGCTGATTCCAGGAGGCCAAGCAGAAAGTGAGAGTTTTGAGAATGATGAGGGCAACTAATGTATAGTGTGCTTTACACAATTGATGTATATGTGGATTGTGATAAGAGTTGTATGAGCCCCAATAAACTGATTTAAAACAACAACAACAACATAAAAGCATGAACCTTCTGTAAGCCTTGCGCACACTCCTACAAGTGTTCTCTGCTAGGGAAAGATTCTCTTTTGTCTTTCCTAGCTCCTGGGAGCCCCTGGTATTTCTCTTTGCAGCTTCAAGCTCTTTTGTATCCCTTGTTTCTGAAGAGATGAGTTGATTTTCTCTATTAGGATTAGCCTTACAAGTTCAGGTATTATGTTATATAGGGAAATAGTAAGTATATGTCTAATTTAAGGAATCCAGAAATTCTTCTAGCTAGCTAATTTACTCTAAACATTTTTACTGAAATAAACTATGAAAATGATCACAACAATGGCTTATATGCCTTTCACATAATTTTAAAATACATAATAGCTATCCTAATTATTATTAATAGTCATAGTCCATGTCAGCATACCATTTCTATATGCTTTAGTATTTGACCGTTAGAAAGCTTTTAACTCATGTTTATTCATCTTTGTCTTAAAGATTAATTCCTGACTATTAAAAGAATGTCCATATATTTCTCTTTCTTTTTTTTTAATTTAATAAAAACATTTTAAGAAGCCCTGGTGGCACTTTTGAGTAAGCATTAGACTGCTAACTGCAAGGTCAGTGATTCAAAACCACCAGTGGCTCCCTGGGTGGAAAGATGAGGCTATCTGGTCCCGTAAATATTTAGTCTCAAAAGCCCTAGTAAGGGTCACGAGGAGTCAGAATCAACTTGCTGGCAGTGCGAGTATACTTTATCAACCAAACATATCAAGCCACATTTGATTTTACCATACATAATGGGGAAAAATTACCTTATTGACTTGTGGACTCTTACAGGTGTCGCCCATACAAGCAACCCCCTTAGTCAACAATATATTGTAGAGGAAAATGCCTTTCCAGTACTTCTTCAACTCCTCAGAAATCACCCTTCTCCCAACATTAAGGTTAGTTCAATTTTAATTTTGTCTGATAGAGTAAAATATCAGGGAGTTACTTTAAGAACGTATATCTTTATATAAGTCCAAAAACACAATAAAGAAAATATAAAATCTTTTAAACAAAGTCCAACTTTAGGCTAAAAAAAAGTTTCTACAAACTATTAGATTTTTTATCAACTAGGAAATTTTATCAAAATGTGCTTTCTTCAAAGATGACAGAAAAGTTGTATGCTCTTACTCATCAAAGAATTAGTATTCCTCCACTATTTGGCTCTTCATTACAGAATGACTTCCGTTCTTTCCTCAGTCGCAATTTCTAAAACCAGGATAAAAATGGGGTTGTGCAACTTATATGGCAATACTTCTCAAATATAAGTGAATGCTGCCCATGCTACAACACCAAAGGAGCCTTGCTTTCCAGAAAACAGCCTGGGCTGGCTGACAAAAATACTTTTACCAAGTGGGGGCACTATGAAGAACTAGTGTCACCCATGCTTCTGTTTATTTCTAGCAGATCTGTTTAATTAAATGGCATTCCCATATAATCAAAGTCTTTTACAAACACTTGGGTAAATTCAGGCCCACCCTAATTGTCTAGGGAGAAAGTTAGAAGAGTTTCTTCTCAAATTTTGTTATGGGCTCTGCAGGAGAGAAGGAAATAGAAACAACCTAAGGAGGAATTATGCAAGTAAGTGTAGCATTGATTCTTAAAATTAAATGTATCAGAAAGTGTTCCATTATAAATTATAAGGCTCTATGGATATGAAAGACTGTTTCATTACATGAGTTGATTGGAAAAACAAAAAGAAGAAATATCTGCAGCAGTGCGCTTGAATTATTATAAATAAGACCTACCCTGACTTTCGGAGCAGTAGTAAATCCCATGAGTTATAGGAAAGGCCACAAAATGCTGCATTATAACAGTCAGGTTCCTTCGCTTGCACCTGTCTGTATTTCAGGATATCAGCTCAGTGCCTGCTAAAATTAAAACAGCATAAATATATTTCAGTACTTTTAATCAAACTAAGATTCTATTATAAAGTATCTTTGTAATAATTCAATAATTATGCTTTTTAAATTCCCAAGTTTTCAATGAAATGCTTAGCATAGCATTTTTAAAATGTCTGCTGAGTTCCTATGATAAACAATGCTCATTTACATGTTTCTAATGAACTTCAGAATGTAGATGAAATCACTCCAGAAATAGTAGAAGAAAAGAACAGCTTTTCAGTATGACTCTCCAGTGGTCTATTTAAATTGATAGGTGTTCCACTAAAGCCTCCTATCAATGATTCAGTAGGTAACAACCAACTCAAAACAGCCTTTGAATTCATGCCAGTAAAATTTTTATATATGGAAGGCATACAACTATATGCCTAGGATAACACCTCTTTATATGTCCTGTTGGCCCTAGTTGCCTCCTCCCATGCCTTCAATTGTAGCTTAGTAGTTGTGCACGCACACAGAGGAAGAATATTCCCCTACCTGTTAAAAGGGAAAAGCATATATGCAATACAGCTTCAAGAAAGTGACCTCCATTGACGTAACACCTCTGGGATGCACTCTACTATGATCGAACAAAAACCAAACAAAATAATGCAGACCAAAAATAAGGGAAATTGTGCAAATCAGATCAGGTCCAGTCTGCATCATAAGGGCATCTACTGACAAAGTTTGAACTGTTCAGGTCAGATTTATGCCTTTGACCTTCTGTACTCCTCTCTCCCACGCACTCTTGTTTAGCAACCCATCATTCAATTTTAGAAAGGGGAGTTGTCTGGAGGCTTATTTCCTATGTAGCATATGAAACTCAGGACTGATGAACCTATAGGGACAGCCAGTAAGATAAGGGGTTCGGGGGAGGTGGTGGTGTAAAAGGGAGATGATGTCAAGGAGCCCATTTAGAAAAAGAACGGTTGAAAACTGATTGTGGTAGCAGTTGTACAATTCTACTTGACATGATTGAAATATGGAATGCTACAACTAATAATAAAAAAAAAGGTAACGGATATTCCTCCAAACGTTAGAAAGCCACTCTTAAAATATTAGCCAGATAATTGGAATCAATGGAATTGATTTTAACAGGTTTTATAGTATAATTTCTATCCACTATAGATGTTTGTACAATTAAATATGTCATTTTATGGAGCAATTTCTGAAAACCAAATTAATTTCTAAAAACCACAAATTTAGGTTGAAGTGGCATTTTCCTTGGCATGCATTGTCCTAAGGAATGATCTGCTACAGAAGGAATTGCAAGACATTGAAGGCTTTAATTATGATGATGTTCTTTACCTTCTTGACTCACCAGATAAGGTAACACCTTTATAAAATGTAAATATAGAAGAAGCTAACTTTGAGACCACATCTTCAAATTCTCATCAAGTCTTCTGAAGCCTTATTTAAGAAAAAACATTCTGAAATGTCTTTTTTAAGAAGAGCTGTATAAAATATCATTGCAGGTCATTAGACTGCAGTCATCACGTGCTATCATGGAGTGGATTCTGCCCCATGGGTTTGGCGGAACAGAACTGCCCAACAGGGTTTCTGAGGCTGTAAATCTTTTATGGATTTATTTTTATCTAATTGAAATCTACTTTATCTTGATGTCTTTTTTATTGGCGTATTCTTATATCATACATTTTAATCATTCAATTATATTAAGAAAAGTTGTACAATTATTGTTATGATCAATTTCAGAACATTTTCTTTTCATACTCCTTGTTGATAGCTCCCCATATTCCCCAAACCTCCCCTGCCATGCCCTTAGGAAATCATTCGTCCAGTTATTCTCTCCAAAGACAGGCTATCAACTTTAAGAAAATAGACTGCTCTGCCATTCTCCCATGGAGCAGCTGGTAGGTCCAGACCACCGATTTTTTGGATACTAGCTGAGTGCTTAACTGCTGTGCCACAAGGCTCCTTTGATAAGGTAATACGGAAGCATATTTTTCATGGAGTTTCTGGATAGTGTGAACAGTTAACACGTTTAGTTACAAACTGAAAGTTCAGAGATCAAGTCCGTTGATAGACACCTTGGAAAAAAGGCCTGGCTCTCTCCTTCTGAAAAATTACTCACTGAGAACCGTCTGGAACACATGTCTAGTCTGACACACATGAGCTGGAATTGACACAATGGCAACTGGCATATTTTTCACGGTTGTCCCACTTCATCTTTAAACGCAGCAATTTTAACTTTCTACAAACCTTATTCAAATTTTACCAGTTTACTCACTAATGATGCTTTCCTATTACAGAAGTCAATTCAGAACCCCACATTACATTTAGTGGTCCCATCTCCTTAATATTCTTCAATCTGTGAAGTTCAGCTCTTCTTTGTCTTCCAGGATTTTGACATGCTCAATAAGTCCAGGGCAGTTATTTGGTAGAGTATCCCACAATTTGAGTTTATCTGATACTTCTTCATATTTTAATGAAAGTTCCACATTTTTGACAAGAATACTACATAAGTGATGAAGTGCTCTTTGAAGTGCATTGTATCAGAGGATCCATAATGTTATTTTATTTTATTTTAGTAACTTTGATTACTTGGCTGAGATGATGCCATATTTCTCCACTGTAAAGCTACAATTTGCCATACTCTCCCCCTTTAATAGACAAATATCTTGAGAGGAAACACATTTAGACTATCAAATGTCTGTTATGCCCATGTACTCTTGCCTACCAATGTTAATACCCATTGATGCCTGTAACAATTATTACTATGGTGCTCTTGACTAATATTGACTTCTAAATATCCTCCCTTCAACATTTATTTGTTGGTATTCAACTGTTAGAATGGAAGACCTGTACCTTTTAAATGCTTAGTCTCACTTTCTACTATCCTACAAAGGAACAATTTGTGGAGTGCCATTACTCCGTATGCTAAGTTTACCATCACACCATTCTAAAACAATAAGATAGGATTTGTTGATACTAAAAAATATAACTTGAAGGGGGAACCGATTACAAGGATCTACATGTGACCTCCTCCCTGGGAGACGGACAACAGAAAAGTGGGTGAAGGGAGACGTTGAACAGTGCAAGATATGACAAAATAATAATTTATAAATTATTAAGGGTTCATAAGGGATGGGGGAACGAGAAGGGAGGGGAAAATATGAGGAGCTGATGCCAGGGGCTTAGTTGGAGAGCAAATATTTTGAGAATGATGAGGGCAATGAATGTACAAATGTGCTTTACACAACTGATGTATGTATGGATTGTGATAGGAGTTGTATGAGCCCCTAATAAAATGATTAATATACATATATACAACTTGATTGAAATATCATTTGTACACAGATGTACCCATGCATATAGGTACAGTTTTTAATATGAAACATTTCAAATAGATGAGGGTTTTTTGAAAAGTTCATAGAAATGTAATTATGAAAAACTAGGCACATATTTCAAAGTAATTTTTTTGCACAAAAATAAACATACTGACTTGTTGTATCATGTCTGCACATGGTCTAGTTTGAGGCACCAGGAGGGCTAAGACAGTAGTTTGAAGAGAGCCCTTATCAGAGTAACATGAATTCTAGACAAATGAAGTAAGAACAAACATCAGATTTATGGCGAGGTTTGAGTGGAAAAATGCTTTACAAAAAGTTGATTGGGATAGTGCCCGATAAATTAGCAGTTTGCAATTGGATAACCAATTTTAGAAAGGGATAAGACAATGTTGTAGATGGCACGCCATCCCCCCATCCATTTTCCAGGAAAAAAATTAATCTTGTTTGTGCCTTAATTGAAGATGACTAATAACAGTAGAAACAATAGTCTACACCAGCAGTTCTCAACCTGTGGGTTGCGACCCCTTGGGGGTTGAACAACCCTTTCACAGCTGTCACCTGATCTATAATAGCAAACTATATAGCAAAATTATAGTTATGAAGTAACAACGAAAATAATTTTATGGTTGGGGAGTCACTACAACATTAGGAAATGTATTAAAGGGTCGCGGCATTAGGAAGGTTGAGAACTGCTGGTTGACCATACACATAGTTTAGAGCTTACATAATTCTAACTGAAAAATTATAACAGAACAAACGCTCTGGGTGCAAAAATTGTTGCACCCAGATCAGTTGCAGATGACAGCAGAGCTTTCAATGGAGCTTCTAAGTAAGTGGAATTAACATCCTAAGAATTAACATTCTTCAAAGTTTTGTAACAGAAGAAAAATCGCTTTACCAGTACAAACGAGAAGACAAGCAAAGAAATGGCTACCAAGAGGTGGAAATGGTCCAGTAAAAGCAAACGCAAAGGTCAAGAACAAAAGTTATTACCACATTTGGGGGGATGTTAGAGGCTCAGGGCATTGTGCTTGTTGATTTTCTGGAGAACAAAAGAATGATAACATCTGCTTGTTATGAGAATGTTTTGAGAAAACTAAAGCTTAGTAGAAAAATATTTGGGAAAGTTCTTCTCCACCACAGTAATGCTTCTGTTCTGTTCATTCCTCTCATCAAACGAGAGCAACTTTTTGAGTATTTGAGGGGAAATTGTTACACATCGACCTTATAATCCTGGTTTGGGTTCTTCTGACTTCCTCATCTTAACAGTTCTTTAAAAGGAACTCATTTTTTTCAGTTAATAATGTGAACAAGACTTCACTGACACAGTGAAATCCCCAGGATCTCAGTTTTATAAGGACGGACTAAACAGCTGACATCATCATTTACAAACGTGTCTTGATCCTGATGGAGGTTACGTTGAGAAACAAAACTTTATTTTTATGGTTGAATTGCATTTTTCCACAAACTTTTTGAAATCCCCTCATTTATAAAATGAGAGCAACATAATAAAATTAAATATTTCCATCACTCAGCTTTAACAATGATCAATTATTCATGTCCAGTCTTACTTCAATCTATTTCATCAATGGTCACCCCCTCAAGATTATTTTTGAAGCAAATCTTAGACATCATATGTGGGATTATAAAGAGACTTCCCCAGCTTTGTCTCCCCAAAGACATGCCAAACAGTCAGATGCTTAGAGACATCCTCCCTGAAGGCAGTCAGTTGCCAGACAACTGTCTGGTGCCACCACAAGAAGGGCCCACTCCCTGCTGTTAAGGACAATGGACTACTTCTCCCTAAAGGCTTGAGACCATTAGCCTGGTCCCTGTAGGTGGGGTCTACACCCTACTGATAATGGTTTCTATAGAGAGCCAGAGAACAGATCAAACCTGCTCAGTGACATCCAAAGTTAGGCTGCCATCCTGAATCTAGGGTCCACACATCTTGTCACATGTGTGACCCCAATCCCTCCTCTTCCTATTGCATGTATATTTCTTGATTGTCCCCCTCTCAATCCTGTATAACCTATAGTGCAACCCCTTCCTGTGGCATATGTCTTTACCTATAATTAGTGGGCTTGTATGCCTCCAAAGGTATATAAGCCTTAGTTAGCAATACATGTAAAGATCCCCTTAGCCTCTCCTTGGCTCCCTCCTCCTCTCCCGTCCTCCTTCCCCTCCCCTCTCTCCTGCCCTCTGGTCTCCCATCTCCATGTTGACCACCAAGCGGGCCTGAGGTGAGCATGCTACCATGAAATGTGTCTGACTCCATTATTTCAATCTCTTATATCTCTCATGCTCTCAATGACTTTATTATATATCTATATATCTATCTTAACCGTACAATTGCGCCTATCGAACCCGCGATTAGTTGTGGGAGAGTGGGGGCTGGCCTTTCCCCGACAATCATAGTATTTTATCTTTAAACATTTCAGTATGTACAAATAACATATTTATATAACACTAGTTACGGGAGAAAATTCTAAAATCTCTTTTTCTCTTTCTCTGTATTCAACTAAAATGTTAAATATAAAATTTTATATTTTGGGCCTTTCTGGAAGATCTACTTGTGCAACTTTGGGAGAATTAATTTTCCCTTTGTTTTCCTAGTCTTAGAATGTGAATTTTCAAGGTAGATTATTCTATTTTATTATTCCTTATAGTACAATATAATTTTATAAATGAACTTATTTTAATAAATAGTATAAGTCATCTCCCATGCATGAAATCTCACATATAACATACTATTCAATGGAAGTTTTGAGATTTTATCAACCATACTTTGAAATGTTGAAGTGAAAAAAGAATATGCTGTTGGTGGGGGGTGGGAAGAATACATTGAAACAAAAATATTGAGGATTAATGAATTTACAGTTTCCTGATACAAGGTAAGAATCCATTTGCATAATTAGTAACCTCACATGTTTCTTGAGAGTTAAAATGGTCTTTCTTCTCCCTGATGCTACTACCTAATTCTCTATTTTGTCTCTGTTCACTAACATTCTAGAGAACCAATGTATTCTGCCTTCTCAATAATGCTTTCTTCCTGGAAATAAAAATAAATATTAATAGACAAGAATTCCTTATCTATGATGTTGGGTAACATGGCAAACTAAACAAACAAAAGATAAAACCTGTGTCTCCTATTTCTAGGATATTCGCTTAAGAGCAGGCTATGCATTAACCCTTTTTGCTTTCAATAACCGCTTTCAACAATATTTAATATTGGAAAGTGGAACAATGACAATATCTATTTTTGAACCTTTCCTTGGATCAGCAATTGAAACAGAAAAGGCAATGGCAGCATTTCAGGTATAAAGTCCAGTGTCACAACTTCAAGACATGTTTCTTTTTACTGAAATGAAAACTCACAGAATTGAGATCTAGAAACATAGTTACTGATTTGCAAAATAACATGTCTTTTGCACACCATCCCTTCCATATCATAAGAACTCCATTAGTGATAAAGATTGCTTCACTTATGTGCAATTTTATAAGTTCTAAGGCATTTTGCTTTTATATCTCATTTGATTATTATAACAACTCTAACGTAAGGTTTATTTTTATCATCTCCATATGGTGGCTGAGGGTACTGATTCTTCAACACTGTAACTATATGTTCATGTCTTATTAGTCATATTATTTCTCTCCTCTCTCTTTCTAGCATATATCCTATAAAAGAAATATTTACTTATTAACCCATTACTTCAAGATCAAAAAGTTGCACATATTATAGGAATAACATTGCCTAGGAATAACATTGCCTACCTACAATGATCATTGTAATGACCAGACAGGAACAAGTACCCTAAGCCTCCTGTTCCCCAGACTCCCACCAAATATCCCCTCAGGGAACTAAAACCAAAACATAGGAAAGCTTACTTGGAGAAATTGAATCATCAATCTAACGATTTCATGCTTCTTTCTTTCTTTTCTTCTTTGGTCTTCAGATTATTATATTAGCTAAAGTCATTATAGATGTGGACCACATTGCTTTGTCTGCAAGAGGTGTTACTATTTTAGTTGATTGTCTATACTCAGATCAGAGCAGTACTGTAAGCTTGACAGGTAAGCAATACCTCATTGTATCTACATAACACCATTGGGGGGGATTTATAATTTAAACAATAATAAGATAATATGCCTATATGCTATCACACTGTTTAGAGAATGAATTCACATAAGCATTTCCAGAAGTACATGGAACAATGGAGAGTCCATTCTGTGGCCTGAGTCGGAACAGAGTAACTTTGGGAACAGTCTTTCCACCATCTCCTCTTTGGAACCCATTTTTCTAGGCTATATGATGACAGTTCAACTGTGAATTACCATCAACAGAGTTAACGCAATTATTTATTCAATAGTGGTAGCAGATTCACTACTGTTTGGTTTCCTTTTGACCAACTCTACACATTTTGCTAAAAGCTAAGAGTTCTCTATGTTACTATGGAACACAACAAAGCAGAATTGTCCAATAGAGTTCTTGACACACTTAAAGTTAATTGTGTAACCACATCAACTACAGACCTAACCCTCCAGTACAGTATTTGTTAATTAACTCAATTTATACTCTCAAAGCAATGTAAAATGTCAGAACCACTACTGCCAAAGATTTAAAATTAAGGTACTACTCTTTTTGCTTTTCAACTGAAATGTATCATTAGAGGCACAGTGCATTAGTATAGATTCTATAGAAGTTAATAACACAAACATTAGTGTAGACGTGCATTGGTATAGAAGTTAATAACATAAGCATTGCTTTCTTGTTGTCTAATTTATAGGGAATTTAATAGCTAGCCTGGCTCATTCTAGAGCTGGTATTCCAGAAGCATTTGCCACATTAGGGGCAATCCAACGGCTGTGCTACCATTTATACGCAAAAGAAGAAGAGGTAACAAACAAAAGAACTTAATTCTAAAATTTAACATGCTCAAAAATATTAGCTGCTATTCTTACTTCTCTTGGCTAATTCTTTATAGGTTGGTGTATAACATGATTCATGTTACTACCTTGAAATTACATTATTTTCTTAGTACTTTCTAGTTATATTTATATTCATAATTCTGGCTCCTAAAATACTGCTCCTTTGTTTTTCTTCAATGGTTAAGATAAACTTCAATCTACAAATAAGCACAGAAATTTTGGACTGGGCAGAAGTAGAATTTGTAGCAGTTTTTCACATGCAAAGGTATAGGTGAGGATGTGAGATGAGACTATGTTGCTAGAGCATTGTTTTCTCTCCAAGTTTTCACCCAAATCTAAAAGTGTTTCTCAAACTTTTAGAGGTTTCAGAATCACTTGGAGGGCCTATTAAGACACAGACTGTGGGGGAACCCATCACTATGATCTACATATAACCCCTTCCCATGGGGACAGACAATAGAAAAGTGGGTGAAGGGAGACACTGGTCAGTGTAGGACATGAAAAAAATGATAATAATTTATAAATTATCAAAGGTTCATGAGGGAGGAAAGGAGGGTGGGAATGAGCTAATACCAAGGGCTCGAGTAGAAAGAAAATGTTTTGAAAATGATGATGGCAACATATGTGCAAATGTGCTTGACACGATGAACGTATGTATGATAACAGCTGCATGGACCCCCAATAAAATACTTTAAAAATAAATAAATAAAACTCATTAAAGAAAAAAAGACACAGATTGCTAAGCCTCACTCCCACAGTTTTTGATCCCAAACATCTGAGATGGGCCATAGACTATACATTCCTAACAAGTTTCTAGTGATGCTGAAGCTGCTGGTGCAGAGGCATGGAGGGTATATACACAGTTAATGCCAATGCAAACAACAATACGTCAGCCCACGGCTACACTGACACCCACCTGCTATACTTGCACTTGATGGACTTTTTGATGTCATTAACTATGATAACTTAAAGTTAACTAAGAATTCCCTATGAATAACTTAATTATTTCAGGGTCAAAGGCATAAGGTACTTCCTTCAAAGAGGAAAGAACGACTTTTTCTTGAATCCTGTGACCTGATATTTTAGCTTTATTTTGTTTTTGCCAGTTGAAAGCTGAGTTGCTTTCCTTGTTTTTCATATAGCGTTATTCTATAGTCTGCTCCCTCAGTTCAATCATTTGCGACCATGGTTTTCTATTACAACCTCCTGAGAAGTTTTAAAATATCTTCTTGCTCAGGATGTCCCCCAGAAAAATGAATTCGAATCATCTAGAGATGAGGCCCAGGTTTAAGTAATTTTCAAAGCTATTTAAGTTCTTTCAAGGCACAGCAAAGATTGACATACACACTGCCTTCTTCGTTTCACATTAGGATCATCAGTGACATTACATGTACTAGGTTTATTGGGTTAGCAATACCTCGGTCCTTGGCTTCCCACGAGAAAGCATTCACGTTGAAGCCTGGTTTGTGATCCAAGTGGGTTTTAATAAAGGATAGAAGCAGTTTAAGGGTTTTACACAAGCACCCTCAGGGCACTTCACACCCACATGCGGAGACCTGAGGCAGAGAAACCACAGCACAGCCACCTGAAGAGCAGATGGAAAAGAGGGCGGTGGTCTCAAAGTGTCTGGCTTTTCAGGGCCCTCCGCTGGGAGGTGTGGTCGATGGTACTGGTTGACCCCATTGGCTGAAGTAAACCCACGAGGCCTAGACTGGGGCCCTCCCAGGTGTACTGGCTTCCTGTCTCAAAGGCCTGGATTTGTGCATGCCCTATAGCCTTGATAGTCTTCCAACTTCCTGTAAAGGGGGGAAGGGAGGCCTTGGCATGTAGAGAGGCAACCCCTGGTTTCTGCCTCTAACTACCTAACATGTTTAAGTCAGATTCTACCCCAACAGATTCTGATTTAATTGGGTGGAGTCTGGGCATCCCCACCCATGGCCCTCAACCAACCCCTCAAACTCCGTCCCAGTTGGGTGGAGTCAGAACTTTAAACAAAAACCTCCACAGGTGATTTTACAGTGTAGTCAGAACAACTTTAAAACATTTTATTGAGATAAAATTATCATATTGTACAGTTCAATAGTTCAAACATATTAAGAAAGGTGGTACATTCATCACCACAATCAGCTTTGGAACATCTTCCTTCTTGTAGCCATCACTGTTGACCCCATTTCCCTACACCTCCCCCCCTCCCATGCCCCCATCCGGTGGCTGTCTTCATTGAGCCACGCAGCGAGAGCACTTATTAAAAATCAATGGCAGGTGGAAACAGTCCTCTCTAGATTGCCAATGGCTGGCAAACAGTTGTGTCGTGTCTGCATAACCACAGAAACTTCCCAGAGAAGTATCTGTGAAGAGGGCTGGCTTGGATGTTTTAAGAACAAAGGCAGGGGGCTAAGACAAAATTTTAAAAATTGTGTCTTTTTCCGTTTAGGTTCGCACAGCTTGCTCCTGTGCTCTAGGCTACTTAAGTTACAATGCAAATGCTTTCCGAATCCTACTGAAGGAATGCAGGAATAAGCCTAATCAATTCATTCGGATAAGCAGTAACATCAGCAGAGATGCAAGTATTAACCCTGCATTTTTAAAGGAGTTTCAGCTGCAGCAAAGAGTGGGACTTCCTTCCCTAAGGTATTGTGCCTATAGTTGAAGTTGCTGTAGTAAAATGACTGACCATCAGAGGAACTTTTAGATTGTTCAAGGATGATCAAACACGGGGAGCTATCCTTGATTTGAATCGAGCATGACCAAGATCTGTTTGACCAAAATTATTCACACTCCTGACACTTTGGGAGACAGGTTGTCTCCAAGTTTGCTCCAGGACTACATTTTTGTGTAGACTATTGCTACCATTACCTTAGCATCAGAGTGTCCTTGGAGTTCATCCAAAGTGAAGTCCAACTCCCAAGGTAGAAATGGAACCAACTCCCACCCACTTTGTTGGAGGTATGACAACAATTTCCAGGCATTTACTCAGAGATTACTATTCATTGTACCTTCATCCTAAATTTAAGTCTCAGTTAAAGGAAAGAGGACACTTTCCTTTTATGGGTGTATTTCTTTTCTTTTGCAGATGTAACTAAATTACAGCCAAGTCTGTAGCCATAGAGTGGATAGTCATATTTAGGAAACAGTACTGTTGTGATAGTATTACATAGGAAATCACACACACACACACACACACACACACACACACCCTGCCATTGAGCTGTTTCTGACTTTTAAGGAACCTACAGGACAGAGCAGACCTGCCCCATTGTGTTTCTAAGGCTGTAACTCTTCCCAGGAGCAGAAAGGTTCATCTTTTCCTTGAGGATCTGCTAGTGGTCTTCAATTGCTGAACTTTTGGCAAAAGTGTGTGAAAGTCAGTGTCATGATATATACTCAAGATGTGTATTTATTCTATGTTAATAATTGTTTCTTCTCATTTTGAGTCATGCCCATCCGCAAATGAAAGTCCATTCATCCTCACTCCATGTTTGTCATTACTTACATCATCCATGTCATTAAGTTCGACTCGATGTTGGATTGCTTGTTACTTCTTCCTAGTTTATTCATATTATGGAAGCTCTACTAAAACATGTTCACCATGCAGAACTGTGTTAGGTGGGGTTGACTAGAGAAAAATAATCCAGTGACACTCATATATGTGTAAGAAAGAGCTTTATTTCAAGAAGTAATTGTATATTGAGAAAACATCCCAGTCCAGTCCAACTCAAGTCCATAAGACTGATACTAGTCCATCAGTTCAGATTCATGCAGCCACATGCAATGATGCAGAATGCAGGAACCACCCACGCCGGTGGTGCAAAGTCCTGAGGATCCAATGGTGGGGGATGCATCTCCAGGGCTCTGAGAGCAACCAGGGTCTGCCAGCAGGAAGGTGAAGGCACAGAGAGAGGGGGAGGTTCCAAGGACCCTCCTTATGAGAAGATCATGCCCACAAGGAGTCACCATCAGGCTGTGACCTGCTTGACAGGCTAAACCCCACCCCTACGCTTTTATCTAGCTACAAGTTGACATGAAATTATGTAACTACCACAAGACTCTGCTGATATTCAAAATAGGAGTGCCATAGCTTCCAGAATCACAAAGCATAAGCCACCAGAGTATGACAAGATGACAAACTGTGGAAATAATCCAGATTCAAAGAGTAGATATGAAAAACGTGTGGGAATTAGAAAATGGTGACCCGTCTCCAGTATACTTCACAGCCATCCGGTGGGAAATAGTCCTAGCAACAACACAAACCAACGACTTTGTTAAATAATGCTAATCCCTGGAACTGTGAATACTCATTTTTCAGGATTATAAATAGTGACCAATAGTTAGTAAACTGTAAGAACTGTTGTGAATAAGCGAGGCTGATTGATGAGAAAATAATTACTTCAAGTAACAGTGCTTTGCATTCTTTTTAGAACATTTGAATGGACTATATTTTTGTAATCTTCATAACATTCCTATGAAGGAATTTGGTTTAAATAAAATAATTGAAAATGTATCAAAAGATTAAGGCAAGGTCTTTATGATGGATAACAAGATTCATCTACAAAATATTCTTAGCAATCCTTAATGGAAACAGAATATGGTTGGGATCATTAAAGCATTTTGAGGGGCGCATACATCACTTTTCCATCCTTGTGCCTCATCTCACCGTAAGGATGGCAGGTGATACTTCTCAGTTGTATACATTTTGAAATATGTAGAGATAGTAACTTATTAGTGGTTTAAATGATTGTCATAAAGACACCCTAAGCTAAGACCTGCTAATCTAACATTACTCTCCAGCCATGACACCAGCTTAAGAACAGACTGTGCACAATCTTAAAGGTGGTAAATTGAGGCCTGTCAGTCATTCATATTGGAAATAACAAATGTTCCTTACATAATTGCAAGGAATCAATTTATAAAACATACTGATTTTAATTCTTACATTTTATTTCTAGAGAAATTTTGTACTACTATATTTATAAAATTGATTAAAATCATATTTTTAGGAGCCCTCTTCTACCCATAAACTATATTAATTTAGTCACATCTAGTTATTCTTTTTGTAAATATGATCAACATAAATAATTCCATTGATATTCCAATGCTTTAAAAATAAAGCTGAAATATTATTAAGTGCTTAACAATAAGCACTATTATTAATATGTGCCATGATGATCTTTTATTTATCATTATATGTTCAGATGTCTTACATTAGAGTCATCTGAACATGCGATGGTGTTTTTTAGCACTATAATTTTCATATCACATTCCCTTTATCTGAAAAGTCCTTTCCCTACTTTATCCATCTTAAAATGTCTTGTTTTCTTCAAAACCCATCTGAAAAATCTCTTCCATGCTTTCTTTGATCACTTCAAACAATTTAAGACTCAGTAAGTCTTGCATGAATATGATCGTGAATGAGTAAATAAATATAAAACATCTACAGGTAATGTGCATAGTTCTCAGAAGTTTATGGGCAGAATCTCAAATCATCTTTTATTTTACTTGCTGTTTCTGTTTACTGATATTTTCCTGATTGCCATTATATAAATCGGATGAGTTTATGTTTGCTGGCAGCAAACTCTATTAAACACGAACCCTCATAATTATGGAGGCATCCTTTCTTTATCCTATCCTTGTGGTCTTGGTGACAAGAAAGCTGGGTTGTGTAGGGATAGTTGGCTTGTTTGGTTATGTGGGAGAGGTCTAAGGAGCTGGAAAAGACACTGGTGAAATGGAGAAAAGAGGAGAGAGATGGGTAAGTGTGGAAAGTAGAGGAAAGAAGAGAATAAAAGTAAAGTAATAATGAGCAGCTGTCATGATATAGCAACAGATTTGTAAAAATAATGGGAAAATGGATGTTAAAAGGGGTAATCAGAGATGATAATATGCAAAAAAAGCAACAAAAGAAAACAAAACAAAACCAACGACTAAAAAAAGAAAAGCCTGCAAACAGTTCAAGGTCTGTTTGTTGACTCTTAGGAGTGTTTTCTGGTAGAGTCTGATGGGGTGCCATGCCTTGGCCCCAAAGTGTATTTTTGGTATTCCCTGGGGACTTCGTTGGCTGCTCTGTTCCCCTTGCTGTTTTGTTGCACGCCCTCAGTGCTTCACCTCAGTGTGGTGGGGTCAGATCAGGCACAATTCCAACAGTGTCTGCAGTGTTGTCCCCTGTAGCGCTAGGGGTCATTGAGGGACTTTGTGTCTCCTAATGGGGCCGGCCCTATGGTCCTCTCTGTGCATTGGGTGCTTTGAGCAGGAATAACATCCTCAGGCCTGGTGGGCCAAGGTGTTCCACTCTCTCTTCCTCCCCCTTCATTTGCTCCTCTGTGCTCTGATCAGACATGTCCGGCTCCCTGAGCTGTAGCTTCAGTGCTGTCCTCTGAAGTGAATTCGATTATAATGCATATTATTATCTCTGCAGGTCTATCTCGATAAAATAGGCAGGATCAACAATCTGGAGGAGAAAACAATGGGACCGAGGATTCCAGGGGAACATGGAAGAGGGAGAGGGAGAGGGGGAGACAGGGGAAAGGAAGTGGGTATTAACAAAGCCAGGGAACAAGTGATCCAAAATTGATGGCGAGAAGGGTGTAGGAGGTCTGGCAGGGCTTGATCAAGGGCAATATAACCGAGAGGAATTATTGAAACCCACATGAAGGCTGGACATTGTGGGATTATAAAGACTTCCCCCTAGCTTTGTCTCCCCCAAAGACATGTCAAACATTAGGGACTTTTTGCCAGCATATGGTGGAAAGTCAGATGCTTAGAGACATCCTCCCTGAAGGCATTCAATTGCCAGACAGGTAGGCCCTCCTCCCTGCTGTTAAGGACAATGGGCTACTCCCTAAAGGCTTGTGACCATTAGCTTGGTTTCTATAGGTGGGTTTCACACCCTACTGATAATGGTTTCTATGGAGATCCAGAGACCAGATCAAACTGGCTCAGTGACATCCAAAGTTAGGCTGCCATCCTGAATTTAGGATCTGCCCATCTTGTCGCATGTATACCCCCAATTCCTCCTCTTCCTATTGCATGTATATCCCTAGATTGTCCCCTCTCATTGCTATATAACCTATAGTGCAATCCTTTCCTGTGACGTATGTCTTCACCTGTAATTAGTGGGCTTTCACTCCCCACCAAAGATATATGGGCCTGGGTCAGCAATAAAGAGGTCTCTCAGCTCCTCCCTTGACCTCTCTTGGGCTCCCTCCTGGGCCTCTGGTTGGTCCCCCCTCTCATCTCCCTTCCTCGCTCCCCTGTTCCCTTTCCCCTTGTCCGTCTACCCTTCCCCCTCTCTCCACATTGACCACCAAGCAGGGCTGAGGTGAGCACTCTACTACGAAATGTGTCTGACTCCATTATTTCAATTTCTCTTCATCTCTCATGCTCTCGATGACTTTAATATAATATATATATCTCAACCATACAATTGTACTTATTGAACCCATGATTAGTAGTGGGGGGATGGCACCCCTTCTAACCACAGGACATGATAGTGGGACAAGAGGAAAGTAAAAGAAAATAGAAGAAAGAACTAGGGGGCAAAGGGCACTTACAGAAGTCTAAATACAGGCATGTACATATATAAATATATTTATATATATTTCAATGGGGAAATAGATCTATGTGCATATATTTATAGGTTTAGTATTAAGGTCTCAGATGAACATTGGACCTCCACCCAAGTACTCCTTCAATGCAAGAACACTTTGTTCTAATAACCTGGCATTCCGTGATGCTCACCTTCCCAACACAATCCCTGAAGACAAAGCAGGTGCATAAGCAAATGTGGTGAAGAAAGCTGATAGAGCCCGGCTATCAAAAGATATAGTGTCTGGGGTCTTAAAGGCTTGAAGGTAAACAAGCAGCCACCTAACTCAGAAGCAACAAAGCCCACATGGAAGAAGTACACCAGCCTGTGTGATCATGAGGTATTGAAGGGATCATGTATCAGGCATCAAAGAACAAAAAATCATATTGTGAATGACGGGGAGTGTGGAGTGGAGACCCAAAGCCCATCTGTAGGCAACTGGACATCCCCTTACAGAAGGGTCATGGGGAGGAGTCGAGCCAGTCAGGGTGCAGGACAGCACCAATGGAACACACGTTTTCTCTGGTTCTTTAATGCTTCCTCCCCACCCACTATCATGATCCCAATTCTACCTTAAAAATCTGGCTAGACCAGAGAATGTACACTGGTACAGATAAGAGCTGGAAACACAGGGAATCCAGGATGGATAAACCCCTCAGGGCCAATAATGAGAGTAATACCAGAGGGTAAGGGAAAGGTGGGGGAGAAAGGGAGAACTGATCACAATGGGGACAGACAACAGACAAGTGGGTGAAGGGAGACATCGGTCAGTGTAGGACATGAAAAATAATAATTTATAAATTATCATGGGTTCGGGAGGCAAGGAGGGTGGGGGAAGGATGGAGAAAAATGAGCTGATACCAAGGGCTCAAGTAGAAAGAAAATGTTTTGAAAATGATGACAACAAATGTAAAAATGTTCTTGACACAATGGATGGATTTATGGATTGTGATAAGAGTTGTATGAGCCCCCAATAAAATGATTTTGTTTTAAAAAGGGCTAATCAGAATGAATAGGTTTCATGGAAATAAATTTCACTGGGAAAAAGAGCAAAAAGTGATAATGGGTAGATGTGCAGGAAAGAGAAATGACAAAAAAATACAAAAGGCTCAGGTGTGGCTTGGGTGTGGGTGCTGAAGTTCCTTTGCTATGGCAGTTTGAATATGGATAGTACTTGAGGGTGGGGGTCATGGTGGTGGGTTATAGTGGTGGCATTTTTGAATGGGTGTGCCAGAATCTGTAGGCCTGCCTGTTTATGCCTGGGGGCAATGTGTACTTAGGAGGGTGGGGTCTCACTGCAAGAGGATACCAGAAGAGGAAGTAGGAATTAACTAGAAAAAAGTAATAAAAATATAATAGAACAAAAGTACAAACATTGAAGAAAATAAAGTAAAATAATAAAACCACCTAGTGGGTAGGGACTCCTGCTCCTTTAGTCGTGTTATTATGTGTGTGTGTGTGTGTATGCTGAATGGGGAAGTGGGGAACATGGTGGTGAGGGAGGGCACTGGAGAACAAAGCAGGAAAGGAGAAAGGGGGGGGGGGGAGATGGCAAAACATGTAGCTTGGGTACTAAGAATGTGTACCGAAAGCTGCCCTCCTGATATGCTACCCATGCAGAATCCCCAGAGGCCAGCAAGGTAAGAGGTTTAGTGGCCAGAGGCTGGGAAAAATTGGCCATGCCAGGAAAAGCAGGGCTCAAAGCAGCAGCTTATCAATGGGAAAGGGGATCTGTCAGCAGATGCTGCAGCTCTCCCATTGTAAGAAACTTGGCTCTACTTAGATTTTACATTGATGTTCTTGTTGCCAGTTGCTGAGATCTGTGCTTGTTATCTGGCGGCTATATTCCCCCATCTCTTCCACATTTCAACTGCCTCGTGCATGTGAAAGCAGGACACTGAATAAGGAAGTACAAACAGCTCCTTGCCATCAAGTTGATTCAGGCTCATAGTGACCCTATAGCACTGCCTTTGTGGGTTTCTGAGATGCTTCACAGGAGTGCAGTGCCTTGTCTTCTGCTTAGCACCAGGGATTCCAGAATTATGGCAAAGAATATTAAATATATCATGGCCTACCAGAAGAATAGACAATCTGCCTTGGAAGAAGTACAGATAGAATGTCCCTTAGAAGTGAAAACGGTGAGACTTCATCTCACCTAATTTGGACATGTCATCAAGAATCACCCAGCCCCAGAAAAGGACCCCATGCTTGGTAAAGTCGATGGTTAACTAAAAAGAGGAAGACCCTCAGTGAGACGGATTCACACAGTGGTTCAAACATAGGAATGATTGTGAAGATGTGCACAGCTAGGCAGTGTTTTGCTCTGTTATTACATTGGGTATGAGTCACAACCAATTTGTAGCATCTAACACATCATACATGTAGAAGGAAAACATGTAACTCCAATAGTACAAAAGAGGAGCAAAGAGTATTTTGTAAAGCTCATACATTAAACATGGAGTAACATTGAAGTTGATGATAAAGGTGGTAAATTGTAAAGCCTCGAGAAGCTGTCAGCAGTTTTTTTCAATTATGTAAACTACTGTTTATAGAGAGATTTTTCATTCATTTTCATAGCTAGGTAGTAATTTTTACTCAAGAATTTCTTGTGGATGTTGTTTCTAATATTTTGTTAGCACTAGTGGTACAATATGTAATTTTGTGCATACTTTATTTCATATATGGTGGTGGGATCTTCAGATTAAATTCCCAGAAGTTGAGTTATTGAGTCAAAGGGTAAATGCATATGTAATTTTGTTAGATGTTAAATTCCTTTTCTTAGTGGTTCTATCATTTTGCACCTGTCTTAGGATGGCTTGACTACAGAAACAAATCCAAGGACACTCTTATGTAAGAAAGAGCTTTATATCAAGAAGTAATTATAAGTTAAGTCCAGTTCAGTCCAGATCAAGTCCTTAAGTCTGATACTAGTCCATAAGTCCCTCTTCAGACTCAACACAGTCACATACAATGAAGAAGAATGCAGGAAGCTCACAGGCCCGTGGGCGCAAAGTCTCTTGAGTCCAATGGCAGTGGAAACATCACAGAGCTCTGGCAGGTCTCGGAGCGACTTGCCC